TATTTTGCGAAGGTTTGCACATTTCGATTTTTTATACTTAAGTGCATAATTTGAATGCTTTTATTGTTTAAATTATTTTGTAAACAATGCATGAAATTATTAAGTATTTTTTAATAATTTCAATTTAAGGCTTTTTATCTGACATGCTTACGAAAAGCTTTATAATAAAAACAAAACTTTACTTTCGAAAGACAATAAGCTCATTGTATTCGTAACGTATACTTAAAAGAATTGTCTAAGTATAATATTATGTTAACCATTGTTTTCTCTTCGGATATCGATTTAATACCCAGTGACCGTGCGACAAACCTACGTCAAACTTTGTAGCGTCCAGGGCTAGCTAAAATCAATGTCAAAAGAACACCGTGCACAACGCCAAATAAGTGTTACCGTTGTTAAGCTTAAATCACAAGGAATAATGACCCTTATTTTCTAGGCATTGCGGTGCAAGTTGATAAATGAGATGGACTCGTTATTGTAGATACATTAGTTATGCAGGGTAGCAGAACTGACAGAATAAACACGGTGTACTTTACATGCATCAAAGCGACTCCCGTAATGTACTCGCGGCTAGAATTCCAATGATCAGACGCCTGCTAACTTTAACTTATTTGTAAAGAATCGTTTGATTGTACTATTGAGATTTCAAACTCTGATCAATCGGTATCGTCAAAGTTTCTTTTAAGTTGACTTACGATGAATTATTAAATTTATTTTGAAGATCGTTCACAATAAACATGGAGGTTGAAATCATTTCATTTATAGTATTAATACTGGGAAAGCCCGTCTTCAAAGTCTTCGGTTACCTGCACGTGTTTGGATACCGCCTTTCGGTTACTGAACATCTGTGACTGATGATTTTAGTACGCCTTTGTTCTACTCAATTTGTACATCCTTACATGTGTACGATCGCTTTTTTATTTTGTTTTATTTTAACTGCATTGAATATCATTGTTACGTATGTGTTATTTTCTGGAATATACGATAGCTAAAAATACTTGAACAAAAAATATTAGAATTTATTTTGCGAATTTTACTTTATAAGTCATATTCAAAACAAATGAGCTATAAATTAAAAAATATTAATAAAAAAACATGCATACGAATTAAGTACGTCCTTCTTTTAGGAAGTGGATCTAAAATGATATATTTCACATTCTACAATTGCGTTTGTTACTTTGTAATGAATTGTAAATATATATTGACCTTTTATTATCTGTCTTCAATTGTTATAATAATTAGATGTTTGTATAGTTAAAATGCAAATGACAATCGCTTTACATATAAATGTATACTATACTATCTGTGAAACAGAGCACGTCCTACTCATTAACGCTATTTGTTAGCTTTTAACAAAACTTGAATTTGAATTAGCAATGACTAAACGATTCTCAGTACGAATGAGTAATCGATTAATGGTTTAATTTGCGTTTGTACTTTAAACTTTAAATTCAAATGAACGAACGATTCAATATTCAATTCAAAGTAGACGTTATCTTATTTATATTATTCTTAAAAATACAAATAGATACATTAATGTTAGGATGACCTTGATTAACTGATGACGTATTTTTAATTAGCAATGTATTGATGTATGTTGTGAGCTCCTTAGTGACGATTTACTAACAGAAATCTGCACTAAGCGACTGCTTAAACAACTTTAAGTGCATTAATAAGATACTGCCAATGTTAGATATGATTTTATCGACACATCCAGGTCTATTGTAGGTTATCTCTTTAATCGTAACATAAAAGCACATTTCATAAATAACACTGTCAACTGTAAAGGGCGCGCGACGACTAAAGGAACAAAATAATTTACCAGAGACAATATATGACAATACGGTATGACCATTGGCGCCACTCGGACGGAACAAACAATTTATAAATGCCATTAAATAGGTTACTATACGTTAACAACTCACTTTATCTAAATATGGAATTTAAAAAGTTGTTAATTATGACGCGACGCCAGACAGCGTATGATTTAGCGACGTCGAGGAGACGCAGACCAGGGAATAAGAAGAAATAATTTATTCTGATATCGTGAATCATCTGCAAACACAGCCGACTACGTCTGAAAACAAACAAAATCTTTGTTAGTAGTCTATGACTATTTATTTTTATTTTTGTTTATTAATTTTCATTTACTTCTATGTCGATAACGAACGCAGGACGGTTTTTAACAGTTTTTTCTAATTCGTGTGGTATTCGCATAGTTATTTTTTATTATAAAAGTCATGTAGTTCTGCCACTCAACCTTAATTGTGTTTACCATTACGCACATTTAACTATGTAATTGTTCCTTAGACAAAAATACTCCACATTAATTCGTCAGCGCGGAAATGAACTATTTCCTCACTTATGCTGGCTCGTGTACACTTAAAAACTATTTCGACCATTCAGGATCGTAAAAGGGTTTGCTGTATATCACTCGACATCAAAAACAAAAGCTATCGAACTAAAATATCGATGCATTGAACTGAATAACACATGTATCGCGCTCTTACAAGTACCTCATTTAAAAAAAAAACTATTGATACTACTCAATATGTTTGGTTTCAATTCTATATAACAGCTTCAGTGAAAAGTAAATAAGCAACTTAGTTTATTCATGTAAATATAAAGCAAACTGAAAATATTTGTAACAATTAGTATAATAATCAACAAAATTAATTTAAGAAATAAACAAAAATTGTATTGAATTTTCTTCAAAGTGAAATTCAAATTACTATTATTTAGAATCTGCAAAACATCCGTTAACTGGAAAACAATTTCATAAGCGTCACGATTGATAGAAAAGGTTTGTGCAGCCTGCCTCTTGCCGCCTGCCGCCTAATCAGCCATAGTTATTCCGGGCGACGCTGGACGCTGATAGACGTTTGTCTATTTAGGAAACGGATATTACATTTAGACGGGCCTTCGTTTGGCTGAGGTGGGTAAGTATAAATCCGTATGTTTCCGGCGCGCGCGATGCATAGCATATTTTGTAAGCGGCCGATGCGTACGAGTCGCTGGATGCAATAAATTTTTAACAGCCAACGCATGCTTTCGTGTTAGCTGGGAAAGGAAATGTGTTTTTAGGACGCAATGTTTCTTTCCACGTTTCGTTACTGAAGTAGGTAACCCATTTTTGATCGACTTCAAAAAGATTTATTACACATGATTTCTTTTGTTTTAGATAAAACAGTTTATCTGGATATTTCAGAGATAAAATATGTAGCAAAAGAATAAGGAATTTTAATTTAATTTTAGGTACTGAAGCGAAGTATTATCTCGAAATAAACTGTAGCATCTATTGATTTCAAGTACCAATAAAGAAGTGCCGTTTTTAAATGAGACAAGGGTTTGAATTCAAGTGAGGCAAGTTAGTGCAGATGGCGGCCGCGCGCACGCACATGTCCCTGCAATTCGTCACTTCTGACTGCTTCCCTGACGTTTATGACAATACTTACTGCTTCACACTTTATGACGTGTCTTCGATGAATTATGAATGTAGAATTTGTAATGAAAACGGGAGATAAAAAATACAGACAGAAATTCACAAGAAATATATCGCAGTATCCAATTGGATACAATAAGTATAATTTTTAATCTGTACTAATATTATAAAGAGCTAAGATTTTTATTTTTGTATATATTTAAATAGCTCAAAAACTAATGGGCCTATTTAAAAGTTCTTTCACCATTAATATAATAAGGCACCAGTGAGTAACATAGGTTATATTTTAGTTTCACGCATACAAAGTCGTGAACAACACCTAGTGTGTATAAAGTTAATTACGTAATACTCTCTTGCAAAAATATTAGTAATTTAATTACTCATTAAACAGTCATATAAATGCAAGCCAATGGGATTCGAAGCGCAAACGGATGTATAAACGTATGGCTACTGTTATGATTACCGAGACG